CTCACACACTCGCTCACACACGACACGCAAGCATCCACCCTCTCTCTCTCTCTCTCTCACACACACACACACACACACACACACACACACACAAACACGCTCACACACGGACACACACGCACTAACGCGTACAGAGACAAGAGGTAACCGCTGCACAGCGTCGAGGTGGGTGTAGTCGGTTGGTCAGGAAGCTTTATACTTAGCGCGAATGGAGCCATAGTGGCTATTCATGCCCGAGGGAGAGAGGATAATCATAGTGGCTTTTCATGCCCGGGGGAGTCCATGCATGAAAAGACAAAAATTTCGGTCGCTCAGGCTTTTATTTCCAACCACATAGCCTTATGATTATCCTCCTTGGAGAGTACGACCGAATTGCATCACTCAGCCTTATCCTCTTCGGATAATACCACGTGGGGCAGGGCACATCAAAAACCACATCTCGATCACTTCTAGCCTCATCCACTTTGAACAATAAAAAAAAATGATCTGGATCACGTCGTCGGCTCATCCTCTTTCAGGATACTAACCCAATCATCTGTCCGCCATCCACCGAGCGTCGGAGAAGATCAATGAATCTCGCCTACTCTTAAGTCTTAATCCATCCTCGATCTCACTTCTTTATGCTCTCTCTCTCTCTCTCTCTCCGTGTCTGTGTGTGTGCGTGTGTACGATAAGACTAATCGAACGGAAGACAAGCAATGTACTATTTACAACAAAGACAACCACCAATGAATCTCTCTCTCTCTCTCTCTCTCTCACTCTCGCTCGCTCGCTCGCTCTCTCGTCCGGTGTGTGATAAACAGACAAAGAGGAGATCACGTGCAATTACCAAAGTAACCAGAAAAAGCATAAAATGCACGTGCGGGCCTGTGTGTGTGTGTGTGTGTATGTGTGTGTGTGTGTGTGTGTGTGTGTGTGTGTGTGTGTGTATGTGTATGTGTGGATAATCAACAGAGGGAGGAGATCACGTGCAATTTCCAAAGCACCAAAGAGGGCACAAGATGAACGTGCGGGGTCGGATAAGACAAGTTGTTCCTTATCCGAAACGAATGCAATCAACAACGGATGTCTCGTCGCAAAACGACAAAAACTGCGCATTCTAGGGTGATTACCTTCCTGACTGTATTCCTCCTTTCCATTCTGGACTTGCTTCTTTTGTCTGCAGCATGGATCTTATCAACGTCGATGCACCTTCTTCCTTCCTTCCTTAAGTACAGCCTTCTTCTGCAGCTCAACCCATATTGAACTTTTTCTCTACATTCTTCCTCAGCAGCTTCACGTCGAAATTTTGACAATCCCGTGTAAATTTCGCTGCCCACAAAAACTCTCCACCTTCCTGCACACCTGCTGCTACCCGACAAACCTTCGCGGTTACTCACTCTCTCTCTCTCTCTCTCGCTCATTCTCTCTCTCTCGCTCTCCCTAACAGCTGCTGCTCTATGTATTCACAGACGCTGCTACCCGACACACCTCTCCTTTGCCATTACTCACTTCCCTCTCTCTCTCCCTCTCTCTCTCGCTCTCCCTAACAGCTGCTGTTCTATGTATTCACAGACGCTGCTACTCGACACACCTCTCCTTTGCCATTACTCACTTCCCTCTCTCTCTCTCTCTCTCATCATCTCGCATGCTTAGACTATAATTGACGACGACGTCGCAAGCGCTAGGAGTAGTCGACGTCGTCGTGTGAGCCGTCGTTGACATGTGGCATGCACGTCGCTTATCGACTGATGAGCGACAGACGGCTGCGCAATTACAGCACGTGCCACGTGTAAACGGATTAGCGTGTGACTTCCCGAGCACAACGCACCCTCATTTGGGCTGTACCGAACCGGAAAAGATGGCTTGTATACATCCAATATCGGGGTGTGTTGTATTCGGGGGAAGACGGGTTTGCAGAACAATTCTGCTGCGCTCCTGAGCAGAGCTCATTGATGAGAGACTTGGTTCCCGACGAGAAAGCGCAGAAACGTGTCACGTGGCATGCTTAACAGAGGTAGAAGGCGGCAACGACGCGCCGCCCAATGCCGCGTGGCATGCTGCTAGTCGACTCTCTCTTAATTGCCAGCGTGGCGCGCTCTGCTGCTCTATAGTTATGCATTCTGTGCGCAACTCCCTTCCCGTCTGCGTTTCCTTTCTAGTAGAGTTATCTGTCCACACGTTCCTGTCAAGCTGAGTCACGTGGCCCCTGTAGTCGGTCCGTTGCCACGTGGCACTCTGCCAGCGTAGCAACGTATATGCCTGCTATTCCGTGTTATGTCCTGACACGTGGCAGTGCGTCGACGACTCTCACGTCGAGCGATCCCCTGCTGCAGAAGAATGATGGACCTGTGATAACCCCATCCATCCATCCATCCATCGAACGGCAAGAGCGAGACACTGACGAGAGCGCTACTTGTCACACTGCCAACTACCGGCCTCGCTCCACTACTCTCGACACGCAGACAAGACAATAACACTAGTAATCTGGAGGCCGGTAGTCGGCAGTGGTGTATCTCTCTCCACGTTCTAGCGGAAGACTCCACTCTCGTTCTCGAGAGTAGTGGAGCGAGAGGCCCTGTGTCGTCAGGTAAGACAGTCGCATGATTCATTACTATATCGTATAAGAAGAGACGTGGCACTACGTGAACGTCTCCCACGTGGCGCGATCTGCCACGTGGCATCATGGACCTGTGATGACACCATCGATTGAACGGCAAGACCGAGACAAGCACGGGATGCCGCCACGTGTGACAGACGACGCTCCGACAATCCTCATTAGAGCTTTATCATCAAGTCGTCATCATCGTTCCACACGCCAGTGCGTCGACGACCCCTATGCGCCAAGCGAATCACGTGGCATCTACACCGTGACCCCGATTTCGTGTGACAGGGTTCCAAGTGCGACAGATGCCCCGACATGTGACGGGTCCCATCTGTGTCATTCCTGGGACACGTGGCAGGTAGTCGTTACGGTAATGGCACCACCGCGCGCCAAGCGAGACACGTGACATCATCGTTCCACACGCCAGTGCTTCGGTCCCCATGATGCGCCAAACGAGACACGTGACACGAATACCGTGACAAGCGACAGATGCACACACACGCCAGTGCTTCGGCCCCCATGATGCGCCAAGCGAGACACGTGACATGAGTACCGTGACAAGCGACAGATTCCCTCACACGTGGCGACTCCCATCTGTCGTTCTTGAGGCACGTGGCAGTCCTTGTGACCGTAATTGCAGCATCAAGAGGTCATCGTTCCACACGCCAGTGCTTCCGCCCCCATGATGCGCCAAGCGAGACATACGACATATACACGTATATACCGCGACAAGCGACTGATGTCCTGACACGTGGCGGGTCCAATCTGTCGTTCCCGAGACACGTGGCAGGTCTTCCCGACCGTAATTGCACCAGATAGACACACTCAAGCACCAACGAGATCAACTACACGCCACGTCCTCATCGTTCCAGCCGACGACAATGTTCCCCGCTGCTCCCATGCGCCAAGAGAGACCCCCATGCTATCGTGTGACGGATTCCGCGTGTGAGATGTCATCGTGTGACGTGCGCCGCGTGTGACACATCAACTACATATCGATACGCGCGCTATCGTCTGACAGATGACCTGACAGTCTTCTTGAAACACGTGACGTGTCCCATCTGTCACTCTTCTCTTGAGACACGTGGCAGGTCTCGCAAACGTAACAGCAGCGGAATAGACATACTCACGGACCGAGGAGACTAGGAACAGTAATCAAACGCCGCCTCCTAGAGAGAGACACCAGACACATCACAGGCATCATCTGTGTCGTGTTTGAGACACGTGGCAGGTGTCCTCACCCTAATTGCACCGGACAGACATACTCAAGCGCCTAGGAGAGATTATGAACAGCAGTTATACACGTCGCAATAGCCCCGTTGAGAGACGAACCATTTATTTTCCTTGCACTGCGGCTAACGGCGGCTAACGGCGGCTTACATCTATTCCTTGTCAACGGTGTCGTGCTTGAGTTGAGACACGTGTCAGGTATCTCGACCGTAATTGCAGCCCCGATAGACACAGGGCAGATATACACTTGTCGCACTACTAGGAATTTTTTCCCGCAAAGCTCCGGACGTGATTGCAGTCAGGTGCATCTTGGCTCTCGGCTGAAATTGCGGTCAGATGCTTTCTCTGGAAAGTGCTAGTATGTGTACACGAGTCAGGTGCATCTTGGCTCGGCTGAAATTGCGGTCAGGTGCATTCTCTGGAAAGTGCTAGCATGCGTACACGCCCTGATGCACGCACGACAGTAAAGAGTTGACACGTGGCAGCTCCCAAGAACGCGTTCAGATGATGATGACGTGTCGCGCACGTGCAGAGCGGCAGATGGAGGCGGCGAGGGAGTGGGGGGTGGGTAGAGACTATTGCGAGTGAATCGCCTCAATTTTACGTCTAGATACATACAGCCGTAAGATCCACACACACATACTGTACTAGTTCCCATCCCCCCCACGTGGTTTTCGTGAAGCCCCTCTTTCCCGCGCTCGCGCAATCGTCTGCCGATCGTTCGGTCGAGCACCGCGATCCCGGTTCATCCGTCAGTCCCGATCGAGAAGCCAATTAATCCCCACGACTTACTCTCTACCCATCACGCACGTGGGGAGTTAATCCCTGGAATGACCGTAATTGCAGCCGATAGACCAAAAGCGAAATCAATCAACGGGCATTCGCTCGGCTGACCAAAAGCGAAACCAATCAACGGACATTCGCTCGCTGACCTCCGGAGGCAGATCGTGGGGAGTTAACCCCCGGCTCTCTCTTTTCCCGCCCAATTCTTCCCCCTCTCACCCTCTTTTCCGCGCCTCTTCCGCGGCTTTCCGCGCTTCACTACCCCGCCGCATCGCGCCAGTCATTTGGCACAAGATTCATGTAATCATCATCATCATACATCCAACGGACATTCGCTCGCTGTCCTCCGGAGGCAGGTCGTGGGGAGTTAACCCCTGGCTCTCTGTCGCTCCACTCCAGGGAAGAAGAAGAAGCGCCCGGCTCTCTCCTTTCCCGCCCACTTCTTCCCCCTCTCACCCGCTTTTCCGCGCCTCTTCCGCGCCTTTCCGCGGCTTTAAGCGCTTCATTACCCCGCCGCATCGCGCCATTCATTTGGCACAAGATTCATGTATTCATCATCATCATACATCCAACGGCCTCATCCCCTCTCGCGTGCGACGTGATTCACCCGATCAATTGCTCGATAGAATTAATCAAGCAATCAACCCATCGCGACTAACCCACTCAATCAATCAATAAATCAATCAATCAATCAACCAATCAATCAATTGATCAAACCAATTAACGAATTGATCGACGAATGATCTTCAGTCCAATTAGTCGTCAAAATCGATCAGGCAAGCGATTGCTCGCGCGCATCAGACCCATTTTCCCCGTCCCTCCCTCTATCGCTCCATCCATCAATCAATCAATCAATCAATCAATCAATCAATCAGTCAATCAATCAGTCAAAATCTGTCAATCAATTGATAGACAGGAGTTAGGGGAGGATGATCCATTGGGTCAATCGACTTGCTGCTGATGAGACAACAACAACGAACAGACACAGAGAGAGAGAAAGAGAGAGAGAGGCAAACTTTCAGTCGATCTTGGCAGTAACGACGTCCTCGTCGCCATCATCACTGCTGCTGCTATCTAATACTACATCGTCCTCATCAATCATATCCTCATCCTCCTCGTCGAGTACCTCCTCTATGAATTCATCCTCGCCGTCGAGGATCTCGATCGACGGACAATCGAAGCCGCTCGTTTGCTTGCACGACACGCACGTGTACAGCAGCTCCCTCTCCTTCACAACGCTGTAGGAGAGAGCTCCCTTGGCCACAGCGCACTCCGTATGGCAGAAGTGATAGCAAATCCCGCACGAAATCCAATGACACGTGTCGTGATCCAGACCGAACCGCCCGCACATCACGCACATGCACCTATTACAGAACCCCGGATTTCTGCAGGGATCGCAATTGCACCGATCGGCCGGGATCGCCGTCATACACGTCAGATTGCAGCACCTGACCTGTCGGAAAATCTCCGACAGGAAATGGGTCGCGATCCAGAACTGCGGGTGAACGTACGCAGCGACCCCGGTCCGAACCGCGACGAGGATCTCGAGCTGCGTGCGGCAGGAGCGCGACAGCTTCTCCTCGTCGGTATCCCGATGGTTCTTCAGCAGCATCAGCTGCAGGTCCCCTAACCGCATCCGCCCGGCTTCCGATCCCATCAAAAGCATATCGCGCAACTCCAATTTCAAATCCTGCTCCTCAGATGGCGACTGCGCGCCGAGTTTCTCCGCTATCTCATCAATCGGTCTCTGAACGACATCTTCGATGGTAAGCCGCTGCCAGGCAAACATCGGTACACCCATCTTAGCAAGAAGATCAGATTACTTGAGATCTAATAGAGGGGGGGGGCTAACAGAAGACACCACAGCCCTGTCCTCCTCACTACTGCACCCACCACCACCTCCCCTTCTCCCACCTACTTCTCCCTCTCTTCTTCCCCTGCCGCTGCAATCGACGTCCCGACCTCCTCTCCTCTTTCTCTCCTTTCTCACTCCGACGACGACGATTGAGCTAATCGCGGTCCCGACTGCTGATCGGAGTCTCTACCTCAAAGGCACTCTTCCATACCCGATCGCTAATCGAGGTCCCGACTGCTGGAGACCGTTGGTCCCTGTAAGTAATCAAGGGTATGGCGAGGCTGGCGCAAGGCAATCGAGGTCCCGACTGCAGACCCCGACGAGGGCCAGAAGAAAAAAGGCCCGTCTCTTCCGAACGACGTACTACTCAATTGCTGTAGCCGTCAACGAGAACGACAACTGCCGTTACTCGTCAACACACATGAACAGACAGGAGATATAGAGAGAGAGAGAGGGAAAGAGATCATCATCCTTCACAAGTTCACCCCCTCCCTATCCTCCCCTCCTCCTTTTCTGCCTCCCTCACACCCTCCACAGGGTTCTACAAAAGCATCCCTCAAGGTCCGAAAGACTGCTCCAATCCCCGTCCGCCTCTCTCTCTCTCTCTCTCTCTCTGTGTGTCACACACACATTGACTCGTCCGATTTGCTTGTGAGATACCAGACACATACACTAAGTTGCGCGCGTGAGGTATGATCAGGACTCTAAGCTCCTCTCCTGACGTCGGCAGCGAGCGATTGTTCTCCGTGTTTCAATCGAAAGCTCTGCGGACGGCAGGAATCTTAGCGAGGTACGCAAAGATTACGCGACGAGGGGAATGGAATGGAAGTGGCGCATCCTCGGTCGGACAAGAAGAGCGATGAGCGCGGCGCCACTAATTAGCAGCGGCCCATTTGCTGCAGGAATCAATTAGCATCAGGTTGGCACTAATTAATAGCGCTGTTATTGAAAGTCGAGACTCTGCCTCTCATCACACAGAAATTGGCAGAACAAGTGTGAGAGATAAAGGGAGAGAGAGAGAGAGAGAGAGAGAGAGAGAGAGAGAGAGAGAAAGGGGATACGAGGAGTTTATGCCTGCACGTGCGTGGCGGTCTGTGCGTGCACGTACGTCGAGAAGCACGTTCAGATTGACACGCGCTCGCCGAGAAATGGGAACAAATGGGTTTTGACAAGGTTCCCCTTGCTGCAATCGAATCTGCTAATCAATCTATCTATCTATAAAGAAAGCTGCGCGCCAAGTACACTTGCACAAGTAGGAGGGAGGAGGAGGAACGGTCTATACCAATCAATTCGTTTGATGGGTTTTGACAAAGTTCCGCTTGCTGCAATCGAATCTGCTAATCAATTTCCTTGATTAGTTTTAGCGTGTGTGTCACTCTCCTACCAATCAATTCTGCTGATTGGCACCACAGACACACATATGTCTACGGAAGGGGGTACGCGATAGAGCGGGGGGCCGGGGGGGGCCGACTCGGAAAGGGGTGCGTATCGTTGAAATCAAGACGACTGGTGCGCAAGTGGATTTCGTTCCCTTGATATCCCTTACAGTTCTTCGGAAGCTCACGGAGGAGGAGAGAGAGAGAGAGAGAGAGAGAGAGAGAGAGAGAGAGAGAGAGAGAGAGAGAGAGAGAGAGAGAGAGAGA